ATTCACTGGGGATGCGGTGGGCGTCTTGCAGCAGTGAGGCGGGATCTTTCTGTGCTGACCACTGGCTCTCAGAGCAGCAGAGAGTCTAGTCTGTCTTACCCACACGGTAGAGCCCAGACCTCTACACTTGCAGACCTGGCCTGGCGTCACCACTTTATGATTCAGAGGAGCCTTTGGAGTGCTACCCAACCCTGCCTACCCGAGGATTTGGGAGTGGGATCATTTCATCCCTGCAGCAGAGGTCCTCATGGCAGACTGGCCAGCTGTACTCTGTCAGTCTGTGTCCACGAGCGAGCACACTGGGATTCTGGGATTTCTGAGGCGTCGTGAGAGTCAGATGAGGATGAGACACTGCCCTGCGCCTTCTCCGAGTCTAACACACTGCCCATTCTACTCGCCTGCCCCTTGTCCTGTGATATCAAATGGTCATTATATGAGACAGTGTCCTCTGATAGTCCCAGAGTGTCTTCTGCTTAGTTTTTCTTTTCATCTAGCTCACTGGGGCCTCCTGAATTACAGCTTCAAAGAAAGGGGCAGCTAGGATGAAAGGGCCAACCACTTGTTTCCTATATTTTTTCTCTTTTGTCCTTCCTATATTTCTCAGCAACAAAATAGAAGGGGTTTCTCTTATTTCCAAGGATCAGGCTTCCTTATGAACAATATCTGATTACAGTGAAGGTCACACATTTTGTTGGTCAAAGACAAAATACTCTCTTTGCTTTCTTCCTGTCACAATCCTAAAGCTACCCACAACAAATGGATGCCTCTTGTAGAGCAGGCATAAAATTTTATCCATGATAAGCAATAGAGAAAAAAGTTTTAATGTAGTTCAAAAATAATACTCCCATTATAGCTTCCAACCATTAATCTTGATATGCAACTTGACTGGATATGAAATGTCCAGGAGATTAGTAAAACACACTTCTGGGTGTGTCAGGGGGTGTGACCTTGGGGACTGTATCCGGTACCCCCTGACTTCCTCTCTGGCATTGCTCCCTTCCTCTGTTTCCCGGCTACCATGAGATGAGCAACTTTCTTCTACTATATGCTTCCATCATGATGCTTCTGCTTTGGAGCCAGCTCACCATGGACTGGATCCCCTGAAACATGAGCCAAATTAAACCGCTCCTCCTTTAAGCTGTGGGTGTCAAATGTTGTGCCTGAGCAAAGAAAAGCCAACTAACATGCAGGTATAAACAAAAATAATGATTTAGAATATAGTTATGCATAAATGGCTCAAGGACAGAAGCCTTGGCTGGGAGCTGAGAAGCCAAGCGAGGAAGGTATAAACCAAGGAGAGGTGGTGAGTGACGACAGTCCAGACTGTCGAGAGCAGCATCTGAAGTCCCACTTGGCAGTGCTCTGAAAGCTCTGCTGGAGGAAAAGGGTTGTGGGCTGATGACATTCAACACTTGAATCACATCCTACTCTTAATTGCTTAGGATTAGCAACAACTTTCTGATTACAGTTTGGCTTCCTGTATCTTTTTTCCTAGAAAGAGAGGACGGTCATTTCAACATTACTATTGCAATCTGCATAGCAATCACAGTTTACCAAATAAAGAAGGTAAAATTGGCATCATGGCATATGTATCAGTCCCCTTCATAATGGCCAACAAGATCCCCCCTAGGAAGCCTTTATTATGTGAATAAAATGAGGCTTTCCTTGAGCTTCTATGGCTGAGGCCCAGCTGTGGGACGGAGGTGAATTCACAAAGATTAAAAACTGCCTTATGAGGTGTATATTTCTTCTTTTGGAGAAACCCTGACCTTGCCTAAGGGTTTTCTCCTTCAGTGCTTTCTTAGAAGCAGAACTTGCGTTTTACATGAGGCAGTGAAATTCTATATTGTTGGAAATGGCCATCAAGTCAGTACTTATCCCATGACTTTCACCCTAAACATGAGACTGGCCCCACGTAACAACACACCAATGACAGACAGCATTTGCTTCCTTCTTTGCATTATTATAAAAATTTATACGATGAGCATTGTTTCAAAGTTGCTGATGACACAGAGCCACCAAGTTCCATGTTTATGGAGAAATTCCTTACCTTGGAGAGTATAATTTTATCTAGTTTGGAGAGAAAATGAAACAGATGTTAGCACTTTAAAATCTGCAAGTATTGCATCGTTGTCATGTAACTGTTACATGATAACTGCTTGCTCTGGTAAGAATTTATACCCAGCTAACTTTATAGAATTCAAATAAGAGTTTTAGACCAAAGGAAAATAGCAGTAATAACAAAAACAATGACTAGCATCCTCCGATGACTTAGTTTAACTTAAACTGCCCCTGTGAGGAAGTCCTCCCCACTGCCCTTTATGTCAGAAGGAGATCTTGTCAATTCTGAGCCCAAGCGCCACGACAGGGTTGGCCCAGGTGGCTCCACGAAGTCCTGTCACACGTGCACACGCTGACATCCATGCACTTGGCCTAGTTAAGAGCAGGAACCAGAATTCACTGGATCAGCTGCAAAGGTGCTGAAAGAAGAGGTTGACCTCCAAATGTCAAGACGTAATTTATTATTTACTTATTTATTTTTAGAGTAGGAAAAATTTATTGAAAGAAAGAAAGCTTCTACGAGAGACAGGAGGGGGACCAGAAAGTGCGTTGCCCCAAGACCTAATTTATTTTTGTATTACATCAAATCTATTTTACTAGTTAGACAGCCCTTGGATGACATCATGCTTTAATCTTATTTCAACTTTTCCACTTACTTTTCTACTTACTTTTAATGAAGTTACCAATGTAATTTAATAATTTTGATTTTTTCCCCTCAGAGTAATTCAAAGAGATGCCTGAACCTGTGATAGCCCACACTGAGGAGGGGAGTTGCTGAGTCATCCTTGTCTGGAAAACCAAGGTGTTGGAAGTGAGACAGAAGAAATAAAGACTGGCTGGCTTCTAGATGGCTCCTTTAATTCATTTAGCGGATTTAAACATTGTGGGCAGCAAGTGGCTTATCCTTAGCTTTAAAAAAGATGCTCTTTAATCCAGCTTGAAAATGTGGGTTTGGGGCAGGGTGAGGGGGGTGAGCAGGAAGCCAGGAGCAGAATTGGGGGACTGCTCGGACAACCTGTCACCCCGGTGAAGGCCAGCCTCTGCTAGGTGGACAGGTGACCCTTCCGGGTGACTTTTTGTATGAATAGGTGAACATTCACGGCTGACTCTTAAAAAGATTTTACCTGCCGAAGGCCGCTTTCAAAATGGAAACCACATATTGTTTTCAGTAACAGAGTTGTTAAGTTCAGTTTTGTTAATCAACGCAGTGTCTATCAAATCTGAACCTGCTGGGGCCTGGGATTTGGCTCAGTGGTTCCGCTGCCTGCCTTGAAAGCTCAAGGACCCGAGTTCAATCCCCGGTACCAAAAAAAAAAAAAAAAAAAAACTCTGAACCTGTGGCCTTTCCAACAACAACAAAGCTAAATATAAATACATGGAAGTTATTGGTTTTAACTTTCTGTTTTCTTAAAAGAGTATACAAATGTTAAAAGCAGTGTGAAGTGAGAAGAATTTATGATAATACCAAGAACAAAGCCAAGGGGTGCCTACCAATAGGGTTTCTGAGTAACCTACAGAAAATCTAAGCTTCCATAGGTGAATATTTTTTATTTGTAAATAAAGATTAAAACTGCAGGTATATTTGGGTCAGGGCAAACTGTTCTGGAAGCTATAAAGTGATATTTGATAACATATATCAAGAGTATTCCGACATTGATCAACGGATTTGCGAACTTTTAATACCACTGAATTAAAAAGAGAAAGGGAAAGATCACTTTCCGGGGTCTGTAATATGACCTGACCTTCTGTGTGAATGTATGTTCCAGGCAAAGCCATGGCCTGCTGGAAATGTCAATCTGTATTTTATGCACATTGCCGTGGTTTTCATAGGGCTTAGGAAATCCTACCAATCCAGCCATACATTAGGTTCATCTAATTAAATGCAAAATCCCCCCAAACTGCCACACTTTCCTTTTCCCTTGCTCTGCCCTGTTACATCTGCAGCTTTAGGCTCCCTCTCCACTCGGACTTCATGCAATTCAGATGTCTAATTTGCTCTTCAAAGCCAGGTCACATCTCATGGTTTCAGATGTTTTCAAATATATCCCTAGGTGAATATTTACAGGTACCACATGCTTGGATTACTTCCAAGAGTATTTCTACACCTTCCTCAAGTGTAAGATTTAAAAATACATTTTTTGATGCTGGGGAGGCTGAGGCAGGAAGACGGCTGCAAGTTTGAGGCCAGCCTGAGCTACCCAGTGAGTTCAAGGCCAACCTGAACTTCATTGCAAGACTTTGTCCTAAAAAACATACATATATCATTTTGAAATATTAATTTCTATCAAAAAGGTAAATATCAAATTTAACTAGATAATTCCAAATATAAGGGAACTAAGAGGAACAACTCAAAAGGAGGATAAAGAATTCCCATTCATTTGCTCACTAGCTTTGTTTAACAGAACCCTAAGTGGGTGGGCCCATGTTTAGAGGTGAGATGGAATTTAGTCTTCACTGCAATCTCCCTGGACGGTTCATCTAGACTGGGCTGCTAGTCATCCTTGCTGCAGGGTGGATACTGGTGTCTCCCAGACACATTAAAGGCTTGGCCCCGGGCAGCACTATTGGGAGGCAGCAGGAGCCTTTGGGAGGCAGGCCCTTGAGGAGGGCGAGGGTGGCTTGTGTGCTGAGTGCTTTGCTCTGCCATGTGCTCCAGCCATGAGGTGCTGGCCTCCACACAGACCCAAAGCAAGGGGCTGGAGGATCTTACACCAGAACCTCCAGAACTGTGAGCCAGAATAAACTTCTCTTTATTAGTAAATTGCCTAGCATGTTTGCTGACGTGTTGAAAAGTTAACTAGCAGGACCATATTGATCACAACTTTGCAGTACCGAGAACTGGCTGAACTCAAAAGTTTATACCTGAATCTGCAACAGTGCTCTCCTATAATCTGCCAAACACAGAGGCAATGAACAAGCAGACCTGAAAGGACACTTACCTGCCTCACAGTTTTCAGTCACAAGCCCCCTGTACAGATGCTGGCTGAACGAAATCTTTAGATCTTCACCTTCCATGTGAATGACCAAGAGACCAGGGGTTGTCCTGGCTGGGACTCCTTGATCTGTAACTTTTAACCACAACCATGCAGGAAAATGTTCTGAAGATGGATTTTGCAGAAGTTTAATTTCTCCGGTGTATTCATCAATAGAAAACACTGACTGGGTGTCTGCAAAACTAAAAGTGACCGTTCCGTTGGGCCCCGAGTCTGGGTCACTGGCTCTCAGAATAGCAATGGTCTGATTTGTAGGCAGCTGAGAAGAGAGAAAGACATTGACAGGATTCTGCTCCCAAACTGGATCATTGTCGTTAACATCGGTGACCAATACTGTGACGGTTACTGTGCTGCTCCTTGAGGCCTCGATGCTGCAGTCTCTGGCCACAGCCCAAAACGTGTACAGGGACCGGGCTTCCCGGTCGAGGGCGCGGCTGGTTCTCAGGGTGCCCGTCACAGGGTTAATGGTGAATGCACCAGAAGACTCGCCCACCAGAAAATACTCAGTTTGTCCGTTCAGGCCTTCATCCTTGTCTACAGCAGACAGCACCAGGACCACAGTTCCCACTGCAGCATCTTCCCTCACGGAAGGCTGGTAATGAAGCATGGGAAAGGCAGGGCTGTGGTCGTTGTCATCCAAAACCCTAACCTGAAGCTGTATGGTGGAGCTCTGAGGGGGGTCTCCCTGGTCAGAGCACTGGACGGTGAGTGTAAAGTTCCTGACTTGCTCCCGGTCCAAGGCACGAGTGGTTGCCAGTTCTCCTGACGTTTCGTTAATAACAAAGGACTTGTCTGTATTTCCATCTATCACAGAGAATAATTGAAAATTTATTGAGGTGGGGGGGTTGAAAGGATAATACCAGTTTGCCAGTATTGCATACATTCACTATTTATCCATTCAATAATAGCTGTTTCCTTATTGTCACATCCTATCACTTCCGTTAGTACTGGGGATAGAGCAGGATAAAGTCCCTACCCATATGAAGCTTCTACCAAAGAAAGAGGCAATGTATGACCATTATTCCTGAAAGGTCAATGTGACTGGATTAAGGAATGCACAGTAGAGGAGTGAAGCACCATTCTGAATGTGTCTGGGTGCCCTGTGGGGTGAGGCCTAGCCCTTTGTCTCTGGCACTGTTCCCTGCTCTGCTTCTCAGAACCATGAACTCAGCAGCCTTGCTTCACCTGCCCTTCTGCAACAATGCTTCTGCTTCGGAGCCAGGCTACCATGAGTTGGCTTAATGCTGTCCACCCTGAAGTTGTGTCAAGTACTATGTCTCAGTGATGGGAAGAGGGCTAACACAGAATGGAACATGATTCAGTGTACATCTTAATTGAGTCAATGCACACCTAGAGCACTTGCTTTCACTAATTTACAACAGTGTGACTTTTTTGTGTGCATCTATAACTTTATATATTCCTGTATTTTCCCCCTTGAGAACCTTTGAATGTATATTTTATTTGCAATAAATAACTGGAGGCAGGAATAAGAAACAGGAGCTATGCAAAATTATGGAAAAATATGGGCTTAACGTTTAATTTTTAAAATTATTAACTTTTAAAAGATGCATTGCCATTAACCTCCTGAAAAGTACTTCCCCTAGCTTAAAACATACTTATCTCACCAATCTTGCACTTTCTGAAGCAGCTCTGAGAGTCCTCTTTTGTGAGTGTCTTTAGTTGTGCTGTCATGGCTTCCATAACAACCTAAATCTATTGAAAACATTTAATTTTTGGTGAACCTTCTAGGCTGCCATACCACTGCCCCCAGCACCGAGGAGCAGAGCTGCCCCCAGTGCCAAGGAGATGAGCCCCATGGGTGCCAAAAGCACACATTCCCCCCACCCCACAATGAAATGAGAAGACATGTAAACAAGTCTCAAAACCAGACTTCCACATCACCTAATGCTACCCCAAAGGGAAATGACATAGAACAATCTGATACTCAACCATTTGGACTCCCTGAACTGGCAATAAAAGAAGATCTGGAAAAAATGAAATCAGAAATAATTTCTCACATAACAGCAGAGATTGTGCCCATAGTGCAAGACATGATTAATAAATCTAGAGAGGAGACAGATTAAAAAGTAGAGGAGCTGAGGAACATGATGGAATCCCAACATAGGAAACAAATGGAACATGAAAGAGATGCAAACAGATTTCCAGGAGATTAAAAACTCCATTGAAAGTTTACCCAGCAGAATGAGCCAATGTGAGGCCAGAATTACAGATACAGAAGATAAGATTGCAATTAGTGACCAGGAAAAGAAAAATTGCTTTAAAATAGTAAGGGACTATGAGAAATCAATCCCGTAGCTGCTAGATGATGCAAAGAAGAATAACATAAGACTGATTGGAGTAAATTAAAGAAACAGAAGAGAGTGCAGATGACATAAGAAAATCTGTTCATAGAAGTGATGGCAAAAAACTTCCCAAACAGGGGAAAAGAACTTGACACACAAATAAGTGAGGCATACAGAACTTCATCTAGCCTTGATCAAAAAAAATCTACACA